GTTTGGTGTGGCATCGCTTGCCGGGCAGCCTGAATGCGCTTCCCCTTTGACAGCAGCGGTAGTTGGTTTCCGCTAAAACCACAAATATTGGTATACAGCAAATATGAACACTCCGCATAATACTAATTAAAGGTTAGTCGGTACATTACATATTGTATTGTTTTGGTATAAGCAGAATAGTCACAATATTGCATTAAGTTTCCAGGATGTTCAAGTTATATCAAATCGAACCAGCGACAAAATTGTGGGTCTGTATCATGATTTAAAAAAAAAATGAACACTGCATGTTCTGACAATCAATGTAGACACCCGAACAGTTGTCAGTCGGACCCTGGACGCCTTTAAACTCTCCCTTAGAAGAGTACCAAGTACTCAAAACTGTTAACTTCTTTTTCAAAACACACTCTTCCTTGCGCAGGCGGAAAGGAAGGCTTTTAGGGACATCTAACTGCTCTCCGATAGTGAGTACGAAGTACTCAAAATTATTCAATTTTTTCACGTTTCGAGGCCCAGAACACCTGTGGGATTATTGCAGCGAAACCTAATAAAAAACTTGTAACATGCGGTTTCCGTGAAACGCTGATGTTTCACACAACATCCCGTTTTCGTGCATAAAAAAAAAATAAACATGTTGCTTATTCTACCATTTATTGTATGTTGAACGCTCTGTTTGCGGCTTGTGCGCCACATTATTTGAGGATTCGGCGAATTACGTGATTTCTCATTGAAAGATGTCTCTTACCTGTGAAAATAAACCCGGGCTCAGCGTATATACGTACCCCATTTGCCTGAAGTCGACGCTCACCTAACTTAGTTTTCACTGTAGAGTATCAAAAAATAGTGTGTGCTTTTGCCGTGTCAAGCCCATCATTGTGAAATTATATCCGCGTCCCTTCATATTTTCGTCCTCTTTTTCAAGATTCTAATTATAGGGGCACGGCCTTTCACTTCGTGAATTGCTTCAGAACGCCTAAAATGCGCAGAAATACGTTTTGTTGAGCGTTTAGTAATTTTCGCGCTTTCTTCGTGTGTTGAACCAACGTGATTACATGTGGTACGGCAAAAAGACAGTAGAATCACATTTCATTACGTCTCTGACCAGTCATAGCGGTGAAGCTTTTATGGGGCTCGACTGCTGACACGAAGGTCGCGGGACCGAATTTCGGCAGTGGCGGCACGTGTTTCGATAGAGGTGCTCGCGGCTCTAGATACTGCTTTGGTAGAGATGATAGCGAATGGCAGCCATGAGCGGATGAACGCCCACGAGCTTGCCCCGCCACGGTGGCCTAGTGGCTAAGGTACTCGGCTGCTAATCTGCAGCTGGCGGGATCAAATCCCGGCTGTGGCGGCTGCATTTCCGATGGAGACGGAAATGTTGTAGGCCCGTGTGCTTAGATTCGGGTGCACATTAAAGAACCCCAGGTGGTCAAAATTTCCGGAGCCCTCATCTACGGCGTCGCTGATAATCATATGGTGGTTCTGAGACGCTAAACCCCCAATATCATCATTATCATCATGACTAAACTCTTATGCGCTTACGTGCAGCCATGATGACGCGTCAGTTGAAAGCTTCTATGAAGACGTGCAATCGGCAATGAGTAAGGTAAAAACACACTATACTATATTGGTGGGAGACTTCAATGCAAAAGTAGGGACTTATTAGAACCAGGTAGTAGGATATTATGGCATCAGTACTATAAATGCCAGACGAGAGCCACTAGTAGAATTCGTAGAACGCAATAATTTACGGATTTTGAATAACTTCTACCGAAAGCCATGGAACCATAAGTGGACATGGAGGAGCCCTAATGGCGAAAATAAGAACGAAATAGGCTTTATAATGAGTGCACACCCAGGCAACGTGTAGGATGTGGAAGTGCTTGGAAAGGTACGTTGCCGTAACCATAGAATGGTACGGTCCAGAATTCACCTAGACTTGAAGAAGGAACGACACAAACGGATACACAAGAAGCCAATCCATGAGCCAGCACTGGTAGGGAAAGTACAGAAATTCAGAGTCTCGCTTCAGGACAGGTATTCGGCTCTTATGGAGAAAACAGCTTTAGCGTCGACGCAATGAATGATAATCTGACGAGTATCATTACGGACAGGTAAGAAGTGTCTAACTAGGATAGGTAATCACCGCGGAGCCGAACCATGAGACTGAACTAACTAGAAAAATAAGAATTGGGTTGACCGCATTTGGCAAGCCCTCTCAAATCATGACAGGTAGATTGCCACTATCCCTCAAGGGAAAGGTGTATAACAGCTGCATCTTGCCGGTACTTAGCCACGGGGCAGATACCTGGAGACTTACAAAGAGGGTTCAGCTTAAACTGAGGACGAAGCAGCCAGCAATGAAAAGGAATATGGTAGGTGTAAGCTGAAGACACAAGAAGAAACCAGAATGGATTAGGGAACAAACCGGGGCTAAGAGATCGCAGTTGAAATCAAGAAGAGAAAATGGACATTGGCCGGGCATGTAGCACGTACACAGGATAGCCACTGGTCATTAAGTGCAACTAACTGGATTCCTAGAGAAGGCAAGCGGGTTATAGGGAGACAGAAGGTTAGGTGGGCAGATAAGATTAAGATGTTTGCGGGTATACATTGGCAGCAGCAAGCCCAGAACCCAGTTGACTGGCGGAACATGGAAGACGCCTTTGTCCTGCAGTGGACGTAGTTAAAATGATGATGATGACGATGATGATGATGATGATGACAATAATGATGAGACCAGCGAAACGGCCACGAGCACGCTATGACCGTAGCGTGTAGTGATGTTTTACATGATAAACATATCATGATTGTGACGTTTGGATGAGTAATTTACCTTCATCATCCATTCACGTCACGGAATACCAAATCACATATGTAAAGCTTGCGAAACGTTTGCGAGTGAATCATGAGCGCGGTATGTTCTTGCATGACATGCATCTTATGATTATCATTTTCGTACCAGTCATATATTTTCATCATACATTGACATCAAGTAACGCCAAATTTGGTATATCTGAAGCTAGCGAAACGGCCGTGAGCGCACAATGAGCGTGGCATGATGATATACAGGGTTTAACGTCCCAAAGCCACCATATGATAATGAGAGACGCCGTAGTGGTGGGCTCCGGAAACTTCGACCGCCTAGAATTGTTTAACGTGCACCCAAATCTGAGCACACGGGCCTACAGCATTTTCCCCTTCATCGAAACTGCAGCCGCCGCAGCCGGGATTCGATGCCGCGACCTGCGGGGCAGCAGCGGTATGAGCGTAGCATGTAGGCATGTTTTACATGACACGCATGCCATGATTATCATGTTTGGACGTGTCATTTTCGTCGTCAGTTCGCGTATCGTAATACCAAATTTGGTATATTTGAAGCTAGCGAAACGGCCGCGAGAGAATCATGAGCATGGCGTGTAGTCATGACTTGAATCACATGCATGTCACGATTTCCACGTTAGGGTCAGTCACTCATGTTTGCCATGCAGGGATGTCATACCATACCAGTTTTGCAATATTTCATGTGAACAAAACTACCGCCCTATCAACAGGAGCATGACATTCTAGACATATACGACGTGATTTGCATGTTACGACTAGTACAATATGCTCGTCATGGAGCCATGTTGTGCCACATCACTTTGGTATAGATCCCATTATAGAAATGGCCATGAGAGCCAGAAGTCATAAGCGGATAGATAGATAGATAGATAGACAGACAGACAGACAGACAGACAGACAGACAGACAGACAGACAGATAGACAGACAGACAGAAAAATAGATAGATAGATAGATAGATGGATAGATAGATAGATAGATAGATAGACAGATAAATAGATAGATACGGCTTAAGTCAATACGCCGAAGTTCGCTAAGAAATCCTTCGCATTCAAAAAAAGAAGGGAGGAGATCAGACGGTCATTGCCTGTATGAATACAAGCGCTCATTAAAAGGCAACACCGTACCTACACGTTATTTGACAATTCAAAACACGGATGCAAGCATAACTTTCACGACACCCTCTATAATTCCAGCATAATGATTAGGCTACTAGAGAGATTGCTGGGGCTTACTATATCAACAAAAAAAGTGAATAGATGTAAAAGCATGCCTCGAATAGCGCTACATGACAATAAAACTTCTCACCAGAACCGATTGAGTGCAGAGCAAAAAAGTGAACTTGTGATCAGCGTTATAATGATTTGTATTCTCTGCTGGAGCACGTGCCTTTGGCTATCATGATGTAAAAACACGTGGTGCATGGTAGTTGTTTAAACTATAGCGTGTGTTATTTTTCAATAAAAACGGTTGTGAGACCGTACTGTGTGGTCTGCATTACTTATATCCTACTGGTACCTCGTTGTCACGGTGCCCATTTCTGAAATGCATTAGAGAGCATCTATACGTTTCAAGCCGCATGCGCAATAAGCGATTGAGCATGCAGTGAGTGGTAAGTGAAACAGACGGGCGCATTGCAGAAATAACAGCAGCTGCTGCTTCGAATCGATCAGAAAGTATTGAGTAGCAAGCAAAGCACGCCGGCCCTGATTATAGGGCCGGCATGCGGTTATATAGGGCCGGTGTGCAGTTAATGTGGTTATATGCACGGCTTATTGCTAGCCGCGATAGTAGCAGTAGCACTTCACAGTTTGTGCGAGACGTGATGAACGCCTAGAGCACTCACATGTACTATCGAGCTGTGGCCAAAACTTTGTGCCGATCACTAATCATAAGTGAATCACTGTCGACAATTTCCTCCGACAAAGATGTGTGCGGCACCGCAACGGCGACACTTCTATTTATTATAAACATGGATACAGCTAAGACAAACAATGAAAGCGCGAGCACCACTACTGAAATCTGTGGAAGGGTTCTGTAGTCCTGCTTGTATAAGCATAACTACTACATTACAGTGAAAAAAAAGATTATTGCACCTTAATCTACCCTTAACACTCCTCAAGAGAAATGTATATAAAGCTTGAATCTTGCCAGTACTTACCAACGCAGCAGAAACCTGAAAGATTACAAAAAGAAGTCAGCTTGAATCTAGGACGACGCAGCGAGCGATGGATAGGAAAATGATAGTTGTAACCTTAAGAGACAATAATAGAGCAGAGTGCGGGAGCGAACAAACCGGTCTTAAGGATGCCATAGTTAAAATCAAAAAGTGGACATGCGTCGGGCACGTGACACGTAGGCAAGATAACCACTGGTAATTAGGGATAACTGATATGATTCTTTCCGCCGCGGTGGTCTAGTGGCTAAGGTACTAGGCTGCTGAAGCGCAGGTCGCAAGATCGAACCTGGCTGCGGCGGCTGCATTTCCGATGGAGGCGGAAATGTCGTAGGCCCGTGTGCTCAGATTTGGGTGCATGTTAAAAAACTTCAGGTGGTCGAAATTTCCAGAGCCCTCCACTACGGCGTCTCTCATAATTATATGCTGGTTTCGGGACGCTAAGCCCCACATATCAATGAAATAAACCACGTACCACAGCGAGAGGGATCAGAGCAAAAGAAAAACGCCGCTCCTTGTGTCGGTCGCAAGAGATTTTTGTGAAACGAAAGATTTTGTTTTCTCTGGCAGTAGTCATCGCCCAGATATTGTGCTGAATATCGTACTTGTCACATCAGCACACACTCTCCTGAATGAGTACTCAACGTGTCTGTGAAGACATACGTTCGCCTGAACGTGCTTCCCCGTAAAGGAAAGCTAAGGGACATCTAACTGCTCTCCGATAGTGAGTTCGAAGTTCTCAAATTCAATCAATACTCTTCACGTTTTGAGGCCCCAGAATACCTGTGGGATTGATGCAGAGGAACCGGCAAAAAACTTGTAACATGCGGTTTCCGTGAAACGCTGATGTTTAACACAAAATCCCGTTTTCGTACATAAATAATAAACATGTTGCTTATTCTACCATTTAGTGTATGTTGAACGCTCTGTTTGCGTTATTGTGCGCCACATTATTTGAGGATTCGGCGAATTACGCGATTTCTCATTGAAAGCTGTCTCTTACCTGTGAAAATAAAACCGGGCTCAGCGTATACGTTCCCAATTTGCTTGAAGTCGACGCTCACCTAACTTAGTTTTCACTGTAGAGTATCAAAAAATAGTGTGTGCTTTTGCCGTGTCAAGCCCATCATTGTGAAATTATATCCGCGTCCCTTCATATTGTCGTCCTCGTTTTCAAAATTCTAATTAGAGGGGCACGGCCTTTCACTTCGTGAATTGCTTCAGAACGCCTAAAATGCGCAGAAATACGTTATGTTCAGCGTTTAGTAATTTTCGCGCTTTCTTCGTGTGTTGAACGAACGTGATTACATGTGGTACGGCGAAAAGACAGTAGAATCACATTTCATTACGTCTCACACTGATCACAGCGGTGTAGTGCTTATGGGGCTCGACTGCTGCCGCGAAGGTCGCGGGACCGAATCCCGGCCGTGGCGGCGCGTGTTTCGACAGAGGTGCTCGCGGCTCTACATACTGCTTTGGTAGAGATGATAGCGAATGACAGCCGTGAGCGGATATGTACGCCCACGAGCTTGCCCCACCGCGGTGGTCTAGTGGCTAAGGTACTCGGCTGCTAATCCGCAGGTGGCGGGATCAAATCCCGGCTGTGGCGGCTGCATTTCCGATGGAGACGGAAATGTTGTAGGCCCGTGTGCTCAGATTCGGGTGCACGTTAAATAACCCCAGGTGGTCGAAATTTCCGGAGCACTCCACTACGGCGTCTCTGATAATCATATGGTAGTTTTGGGACGTTAAACCCCACATATCATCATCATCATGAATAGATTCTCAGACAAGGCAAACTAACGAGGCGTAGGCAGAAATTTTGGTGTGCCGGTGTGAATAAAAAACGTTCGCAGGTATAACGCGGTAGCCGAAAACACCAGACCGGGTTGATTGGCGGATCGAGAGGCCTATGCTCTGCAGTGGGCGTAGTCAGGCTGATGATGATGGTGATTTCCTACTACCTGTTGGATTCGTTTGGTTGTGTCTAACAAATATACAAGGTCCTCGAAAAAATTACCCTTCTTCTTTCTGCCTCTGTATGTACCATAAAAAAAATTAAAACTGATCGAGTCATTATGATTGATTGACGCACGATCAACCATGCTGACATCTGGCGTACATTGAATCACCGCGAAAGGCGTCTATAGCACGGAGCATAGTAAAGCAAAAATAGGAGGAAGCACCACGTCACGTTGCCAGCCTGCCAAGACAACCACGACTTGTCGGCGTAGTGGCTCACGGGTAGATTTCGTCGGATCGGGTTGCTGGGACATTTACAAGATTGTTTGAATCACGGTGATCTTTAGTCGTGCCTGTCTAATAGCGGTATCACCGAGCCGACCACGTTGTGTAAATCACGCTGTCGTTCTGCACTGATTAGCCACTTTGTTCCCAAAAGACACCGCCGTGATTCAATTCACATTTGAGCAATGATGCTTCGACGGAGAAGTATTAGCGTTTGTCGTGTGTTACAAGTTTTTCCCGCTTTGTGAACGTGTTTATTTTTTTTTTGCAGTGTTTCTTTTCATAACGGCAGTAGCATTATAACACCCATTAAAGTCTATTGGACGTTATAGTGGGCCGTGACAGCACTTGTCTCGTATATTTCATTATGTCACGTATATTTAATTATGAGCAGAAGCTTTCTAGCGCGACGAATGAAAATGATGGTCGGGGGACCACTATAAATGGCGAGTACGCATTGTTAACGCGCCCCAGATATAAGAAACGTGCGCGAAAATACATTGCAGTGAACACCTATAATGTCATACACTTTCACCATCGAAAACTTACAACAGTGATTTATCAAGTGGTTGAATGGGAAGGGGTGACGAAAGGGCAACTGAATGCCTGACAGACCACCGACCCCTGCCCTGGCCACAATAATGCGCAACACTCTGTAATTACGTGTATATATATATATATATATATATATATATATATATATATATATATATATATATATATATATATATATATATATATATATATATATATATATATATATATATATATATATATATATATATATATATATATATATATATATATATATATGCGAAAAACATCCATGCATATCTACAGCAAAAAAGGAAAAGAAAATAGCGAAAAGAAATAATTGCACACTCGTAAAAACTTTCTACAGAAAAAAAATAACTTAGGAGTAAAAAACCGTTGTTATGAACATCAGTGAAACAAGTGAAAGTTAGCGAATAAGCGAAGAGGATTATGCGTGCCTTGAAAGAGTTGGGACACGTGTATTACAATGAAGTACATGAGATGCGCAAATTTTACACAAATTCAGAAGGAGAAAAAATAGACGTATCATGCTTAAAGTGTCAGTAGAAAATCATGTATATATATACTTTTTTTGAGAACTGCTGATGATCGACTGTCATTGAATATGCTGATGGTCATGCTGTTTGAATTTAAAAACGAAGGAATAAGGTGTGCTATAGCTTTTGTTTTCCGTAGTTGGTTCAAATCCTCTCACTATAATAGGTGGATTTCCTAAAGCTGTACGTTTGTTGTTTTCTGAGGTAAGCATAGTTAAATACACCGACGTTTGATTTCATTCGATGATAAATGACTGCCACCAGCTTTTTAATAAAGATATTTTGAAATGTTGAGGTACCATGCTTATGAAAAAGTGGCGCAGAAGGCTTTCGACACAGACCATTTTCAATTAATTTTCAATTATGCGCAACATTCTTTTTTGTAGTCTGTGAATACCAATTTTATTTGTTGTTTTAGTGTGGCCCCAGATTAAGACCCAATAATGTAGGCGCGAATAAACTTAAGTATAGTAGAGCTGCTTTGTCACCCAAAGGGGTAGTAAGCGTCTTATTTTTCCTATCACACCAAGTGGACTGAGAAGCCTGCGTACGAAGTTTATCTATGTGATTGGACCAGTTCAGCGTTTCGTGAAACATTACGCCTAGCAACGTTTGAGCCTGAACCCGCTCAATCAAACTTCCTATGAATGTGAGCTGCGGATTCGGAAGAAGAGAACAATTTTGAGGTCGAAAAATATTGTATTTTGTTTTCTTAATATTTAATTTTAATTGATTTGTTTGCAACCATAGAGACAAATTGTTAAGCCAAATGTTTGCTTGTTTTTCTGCACTTGACATATCCTGACCAGAAAAAAACCAAAAACGTTAGTGTGGTCTGCATAATGCACAGTATCTGTTGTTAATGGCACGTGTAGAATATCGTTTATGTAGAATAGAAACAGAAGTGGTCCGAGTATCGAACCCTGTGGGACGCCGTAATTAATCTTTCCCATTTGAGACTTCGAGTGCTTCATATCGGTATATCGAAACTGATTAGTTAGGTAACTTCCCATTAAATTAAAAAATAAACCTCTTATTTCATATTCATTAAGTTTTGGGGAAGAATTTCATGCTTGATGGAATCAAATGCTTTCTTAAAATCAAGAAATATTCCGATTGTGTGGTAGTTTCGTTCAAAGTTATTGATTACTTTAGCTTTAATATATAATAAGGCTTTTTCAGTACCCTAGTCTTTCTCAAACCTATACTGATGTTCTGTTATAATTTTTTTCGAACTACAAAAATTTGCAATTCGTGAATAGATAACAGGTTCAATTATTTTCGAAAATACAGGCAAAACAGAAATGGGCCTCTAACTATTCATGTCATTTTCATCACCACCTTTGTGGATAACAGATAATTTGGCCAGTTTCAGTTTGTCCGGGAACGTTCCAATGCTCAGGATGAAGTTGCAGAATTTCCTTGAGGTTTCAAGTTTTTCTATGCCCGAATCTTGAATTCATTCCTCAGCCCCTTCCTTATTTTTTGCTTGCAATTTAGTGCCCAAGTTACTGTAAGCATCTTGCTTGGTGTAGTTTACGTTGCCGAGGAGCCTGGGGTCATTAGAGTACTTGTGCACGGCATCAGGCCATGACAGCGGGATGCCAACTGAGCATGCGCCCATGGAAATACACCAAAGGTAACAGTGCTCCGTACACTATTCTATGGAACCACATTCAAATATTCCAAATGTTCGCATGTGCTGTTAATGCTCACACGCAAGTACTTACAGTCAAGACACAAGCAGTAATGTGCTTGAAAAGGCCTTCCTTCAGAGAAAGAAGAAATAGATAAATAAACGTTAAAAAACTGACTATGCGTTTCAGAAATTTATACTGCGCAGATTCTAGTGCTGGCCATGCTAGGTGTCACCCGGCCACCTATTATTTTTTATAGGGGTCGTTTTTTAGCAACAAAGAGGAGACCACTAGATCACGTCTCACAGAATATCATTATCAATTACATCACTACCACGCTCATGATGAACAAGGAAAGTTGCCATGCCGATCGCTACCAGCGACTACCATCACTATATTATATGGGCTCCCAAGCCATGACCAAAGCGCCACCGCTTTGATACATATACTAAATGTCGGAACATTTTGTGTGAGAGACCTCAACGATGAACTTTTGGGGCTTTTTTAAACAACGTAAAGTCACTTTTCCACTATGTTCTGTGTCCAGCCAATGTGCATCCTAAGAGCAAATTGTCGTGATGTACGGCATGCGGCTACTATAAACTATTCAGTGATATGTGGGAGTTTAACGTCCCGAAACCACCATATGATTATGAGAGACGCAGTAGCGGAGGGCTCCGGAAATTTCGACCACCTGGGGTTCTTTAACGTGCACCCAAATCTGAGCACACGGGCCTACAACATTTCCGCCTCTATCGGAAATGCAGCCTCCACCGCCGGGATTCCATCCCGCGACGTGTGGGTCAGCAGCCGAGTACCTTAGCCACTTGACCACAGTGGCGGGGCTCTGATATAAAGCAGTGAACGCGTTAGATGTATTTCTACTTGATACAACTTAGAATCTACAAGATACGTCTGACTAGGAGCCCCGCATTTTTGTCAATTGGTAAACCTGTGAAATCTAAAGCCTCAAGTGAACGCCGGAGCAGCGCCAGGCCAAGGGCTAGATTAAATTTTGCCGGTACTATGTGAGGCACGTACATGCACGCACACACGCATAAAGCACAATAATTCGCAGTGGAGCTCTGGTCAGCCCGCTGTGTAACCGCGACTGCCAGCAGAATCGAAAAATTCTGAACAGCGTACACCATTTGCTGTCACAAAACTGGCCTTTTATTTCCAAACGTTAACAAGGTAAACGACCCGTCGTTCTATGAGCCCATCAATGCCGCAGCCTTCTTTGCCTTGGAGCGGCCAACCACATAAGTGCGGTCACGAGCATTCCAACCCTCAGAGGGTGCTGCGCCGGTCGCACCGGGGTCCCGAGACCGCGGCGCCAAACAGGCCCACATGCCGCCTCTGCTTTGGCGTACTTTCAATGGGCGCTCTTTGTGTTAACGACAGGCGACTGCAATCTACTTTGGTGCCTCCACCGGAGGGCCCGCCAACGCACGCAGGATCGCCTTTGTCTCGGGGCCGGCCTAAGCACATCGAGGAAAGACGCCGACCGTCTTGGCAGGCCGCGGAATGCCCATTACAGGAGGCACACAGGCGCCCCTCCACTCCCAGGGTAATTGCCCGCCGGATAGGCGGCAGACGCGCTATCAAATATTCATCGCCAAAGTCTCGCTTGACCAGCCCTAATTGGCCGGGCTGAGGCGCCATCCATTACCACCCGCCACCCTTCGTAGGCGAAGATGCGGCCACCCAGTATTGACGTGTCAGCTACGCAAATCAAGCCCTCGCGCGCCCGGCGTCGTTACCATAAGCTCACTGAAAATGTCCCCTCGCTCACCAGCCAGAACACCGCACCAAAGCACCGCCGACGTGTGTGATAAACGAACGATACCAATTACCCAAGCCCACCGCTCAGCGATGTTATCGATCAAAAGGTTCAGCATGTTGGAGGGAACAATATTACTATACGTCGTCCAAGCTCTGCCGAGGAGAGCTGCAACTAGAAGTCTGAACCTCGAATATTTTTTTTTTTTTTCGACTGGACCACACTCGGCCACCAAGGCATTGCTTTATATTTTTAGCTCCGTTTATGGAGCCTACAAGTTTTACCAGAATAAAGAAAAAGTAGCTAATTAATATAAGTGACTCGGCAATGGCACCACACGCTAACACAGTTAAAATGTGACTGCTTTTTAGCTCGGCTAAACCGCAAAAGAAAAAAAAAAAAATTGAGCGCCCGAAAAGCTCAGTTTCGGTTTCGCTACTCTGCAAGCGATCGCTCTTTGCAGCTACGTCAAACGCATTGCGACCGACATCACAACAGCGACGCGCATTCCGCAATACCCGTCAGCGCGACAGCATTCACGCGTTTCGAAGGTATTCCCTGATGCTTCGCAGCGGAAGGCTTTACCGTGACCTAAATATCAGTACGAAGAGACGATATCAATCACAGAGCATTCCAAAAACGCCATTCCAGGCTATAAGCAGCCACCGTCGTTCGACCCGGCGTTACTACGAATGTAAACAAGCCACTTGCCGGTCGAGTACGGCAGAGCACGGCGAGAATGGATTCGGTCAAGCTTCAGAGTTCAAAGTGGAACACTAGGCGCTATGAAGAATTAGAGATGACATCACATAACGTCAAGAAAGGCGAAAGAAAGCATCAGGCTACCTTGGACGGCGCCCGTTTAACTTGCTTGCTTGCGAATGCTTGCTGCTTTTGCCACTGCAGCGCCCCTGTGGCGATTGCAAGAAGCGCTCGGACGGGAAAATGTCATCGCATCGTCTGCTACTGCTCCCCAGCCGCTGACTACTGCTCGAGGCAACCGCGCGGCCTGGGCTGCTTTTTATTAGAAAAATGATGAACTAATATGTTTATGGGTAATACGGATGATTAGCATGACGCGTTTGTCGTGATAATTGACCAAGCTTGCCCACAACTATTTATATCAACGAGAGAAAATGATACACAAATTCGAGAGCTGACCAGAAATATTCTAAATTAAAGCAATAAAACCTTGCGATTTCCTATTTTATGTCATTTTATAAATATATTACATGACTGTGTTATTACAGCAATTTTTGGAGCAAAAGAAGGAAGAAAAGAAATATTCAAGCGAAGATTGTTTGTTTGTTTGTTTGTATCCTCTAATCCATGGCTCGTACCCACTCTGGGGAATTGGCCAAGAGAACATATAGTCTCATATGGACGATAACTGCATTATTGCTTACAACGAAAAAAAAAGGGGGGGGGGGAGTTGTATAGTGAAGACAGTATATTAAAAAAAAAGAAAGAAACCAAAGATTTAGATAGTGAGAAAAAAGAATCAACAACAAAGTAGACACTAATAGCTACAACTTGACTTTGGGAGCCGACCAGACAGCTGGTTTTGCCAAACCCGATTAGTTTGGTATGTCACGGATTTATCCAGAATTGAAAATTACTTTTCGACCCGTTTTTTTTTTTTGAGTATCTGTTAACGTGGGCTTTATGTTGAAAAACGTTTAGAGTCTTGAATAAAATTACACACCGCATCGAATGCATCTCTGTGGCAATTTCCCAAAACAGCGGCACCAAAACTTAGAACATTTTCTGTGGTTAAATTTAAACCTAGCTTCGCAAATGGAATATCTAAAAGTCGTTTCCTAATTAATGCATAGTTACGACATGAGCCAAAATAATGTTCAATAGTTTCTGATTCTTCGCAGAACGGACAAAGGGGGGAAAGTGTCAGACCAGCTCTGTGTAAATAAAAATTTAATGGGGGGACACGGCACCGGAATCTGGAGATTATAATTTCAAGTTTTTTTGACGGACTCCACTGGGCTTTCCATAGAAATTTGAGGTGCTGATAATCTGTCCATTGTGTGATATTTTCTAAACTATCTGTAAAAATAGCGAATTTCCTATACCTAACCCCTGATAAGTATTCTAACTCGGGAAGTACTGAAATTACTGGTCCATCGAGTGATGCTCGTGCCAAAGCATCTGCCAATTCATTTAATTGTAATCCGCCGTGACCTAAGACCCACACTAATTTGAGGAGTTTTAAATGCGGCGGTGCTAATGTGTGGAACGCTGCTAGCGCACGAGATTGTTCAGAGGTTGTCAGAGCTGCACACACCGAAAGTGAGTCTGTTAGGATGATTGCACTGGTCTCGGTCGTAGGAATTTTACGAAGAGCTAAAATAATAGCTACTAGCTCGGCTTCAAATATAGGAATGAAATCTGGAAGCCTTACTGAAGAAGACCAGCCGAGGAAATGAGATGCAATTCCTACGCCTGCCTTTTCATTGTTGACAGAAGCATCTGTAGCTATTACATTTTTTTGTTTCTGCATGTACCAAGTGATCTTTTAATGTAGTGGTCAAAAATCTAAGAGATTGCAACTTGGTTTGTGGGGGGAAGATTTCATCGTACTCTATTCTATTGTTGATGGTTGAGGAATTAGTTTCAATTACTGTGCTAATGTCTACATTTATGCAATCCAGTTTCTTTTTAACGAAAATTATCTGAGGAGTATGAAATCGAGGCCAATGTGCAAGAAAGAAAGAGTCAGGGTCGCTGATAAATGCGTACTCTGATTTTCGCGCCGGTAAACTGTAGAACTTTAAGAAGCTTTAAACCATTAGAATGCGGAATCGACAAAGGAGTGTTGGCAATCGCGCTTCTTGATACAATGCATTATTCGCCACGAACCTGGGAAGTCCCAGGCATATTCGCAGGGCTTCTCGCTCTAACATTACTAGCGGTTTCATTTTATAACCAGCGGCCCCCCGAGAATAATACACACCCAAATTCCAATATTGGTCGCACATACATTTTATATATCATTAACATCGTGTGTCTGCGCAGCCCGTATTTTCTGTTGCCTAACCTGCGTAATAAAGCTAACGCCCGTTGTGCCTTTGCTGTTATATATTCAATGTGGTGGCTCCAATTTAGCTTTTCATTATAAATCATTCCTAAGTACTTGACTGAATAAACTTGTGGAATAGGTTCCCGACTATACAATACAGAAATTGAAACTGTATCTGCTATAGGAAACACCAAGAGCGCACTTTTACTGATGTTCAATGACAATGAAATGGATTTCAACCAGATTTCTAGTGTATTAATATATCTTTGCAGTTTTTGATGTAGTGAGTAAATGCCGCTCTCTACAGCGAAGAACGCGATATCATCTGCATAAATGTAGACACTGACATCCTGAACAATTGGAGTAGAGCTCTTCAGTATATTGAATAATGCTGGATATAGGACGGACCCTTGGGGAACACCACGTTTCTGTTTGAGTTTATGCGAACAACAGCCATCCTTCACGCAATACAATTCCCTTGATTTTAGGAATTCTGCTATCCACTCAGTAATATACTGAGGAAACTTTAGACTCTGCAAGGTGGTCAGTAGAATGGAGTGCTCGACACTGTCGTACGCTTTAGCTATGTCGAAAGTTACTAATGCGGCGTATTGTTTCCTTTTACGAGCAAGCTGTATTCGACTCTCTAAATCCGCATGGGCGCACCAAATTGAGCATTCACAACGAAAACCAATTTGGCTTTAATATGACCTTATTCGTCATCCAGGAGTTTATTCGGCCCTTTAGAACCCTCTCTATGAGTTTCACCATGTTCAAAGTTAGCGAGATGGGTCTGATATTTTCTATGGTAAAACCTAATCCTTGCTTTTTTATTAATGGGATTACCTTAGCTATTTTCCAGTCATACGGTATCCAGGCATTCTTTAAAGAGTAGTTTATAAGATTGAGGGCGTCGCCGGGAGATAGCTTGAATAAAATTTTAATCATAGGAACTGTGATTCCATCTGGACCAGGAGCTGACGATGGTAAATCTCGAATGACTTTTGATGCTTCAGACAGCGTTACGTTTTCGAAGTCAGTGCTTATGCTAGACTTTTGCCAGTTGAAAGCCATAATCGAAGAAAATCTAATTTCTAGACCTCTGCCAATTGACTCTAAAGAGTCCTTCGTTTCTTCCAATGATAGTTTTTCATAATCAATATTTCATGTAGACGGCAGGATTTCGCGAGATCGCAGATATTGAAATGAAGCTTTCTTATTTTTGGATTTCGAGAGAAAATCGAAATGTCTTTTATCGTATTCTTCTTTAGCTTGGGCCACCGTGTGCTTAAATACAGCGGCAAGAATTTTATAATCTGACCAGTTCTTAGGGGACTGATTATGTATTAGCTTCTTCCAAGCTGCCTGTCTTCGTCTGTGATCTCGTGAACAGTTGGAATTCCACCAAAGGCTATAGGGTATTCTCTTCGCCGATTTAACAGCAAATTCAGCGTTTTTGTATGCCCTTTTGATAACTGCGCTTATTTTCATAGCTTTAGTGTCATCTCCATCCTGAGAAGGAGCGTCTAAAGTAGTCTTTAGGTCGTGTTGAAATTTTGCATAATTTATACAGGTTCGGGCATGGAAGCATGATGGTTTGACGGGGCAAGCGATCTCGAACATTATTGGAAAGTGGTCACTGTTGGAGGCGCAATCAAGCGCTGTCCACGATGTACTAGCAATGGGCGAGCTTACAAAGCTTAAATCTAAGGCGGAGCGTGAATGACCTCGAATAAATGTGGGAGTTCTAGCGTTAAGGCACAATAAGTTGTTATCTACCGACCAGTCCCACAACCGTTGTCCACACTGATCTGTTCTGAAACCCCAGCAGGTATGGTGAGAGTTGAAGTCACCAACTATAATTTTTTCTTTACAGCCTGAATTAGCAGCCACATATAACAATCTCGTGTGTTGAACGCCTACAGGAAAGTAGACGTTTATTAGTGAGAAAGGCAAGTATCCTGGCAAGGTAATATCTAACGCGAAAATTTCGCATTCAGAAGACATACATTTGTATGAGTTTTTGACTTTTAGACTAATTTTATTGTTTATAAAGAAAGCTAAACCTCCACCTTTGAATGGACGGTCTAGACGAAAGGTTTGGAAGTTGGGTAGGTGAAATACAAGATGTGTGGATAGCCAAGTTTCTTGTAATGCAATAATAGCCGGATCGAATTTGGAAGACAGGTATAACAGATCTGTTATGGCTGAGTGAAGAGATCGGCAATTCCAATGTATCATTTTAAGAGACCCTATGATTTCGTTAAAATGGTTTCGGCAATCACCTTATCTAAAATACTTTCTTTTAGAAAATCGGTTTTTAAAGGTTGTCTTTCTGGTATTTCTTGCTTTTTACATGTTTCGGCGAGCTAGGTTTTTTCGATGTAAGGGATCTAGAACGCTTTAGGCATTTGAAATTTATGTCCATATCTTGTGTGTCCTGAGAAGCTTCCTGTGCACCCTCGCTTTGCCTCTGAACGCCTTCTCCAGTGGGCTCTGCAGACTGTGCATCCGGTGGAGTTATCTCAGATTCTGCCTCACTTGTCGGGTGTGCAGACTCAGCATTTTTTACAGCCCTACGTATCTCTATCTGTGCTCCATCGACTTGTGCGATTTGGTTATTCACAATGTGCGACAGCGACTCACATAGGGTGGTAGCAAGGCGTTGCATAGCCTTATCCACAGCCTTCTCGATCATGTCCGCAATTGATAGGGAAAAGGATGCTTCCATTGCTATGTTATGGCGGGCAGCTGCTCCTGCATACCCTTGAGTTCGGGCTTGGATTTCAGCAATGGCATCCTTTCGGGAGCATCGCCTTCTGTCTACAATTTCAAGGATTTGGATTTCACGTGCCTTGGCTG